TGAGGGTAGGCTGTTCTCATAGTTGTGTAGCAGCTGTGCTTTGAACATATTTTTACCTCTTGTCAGTGTACCAAGCCATAACACCACATGAGCTCCTCTGTTAATGCACTGTGGTATAATTTTTCCCTTAGAGTATCAAACCACAAAAACAGCTTATAGGAAATCTTGGCAAAGTTATTCCCATTTGTCCAAACACAGCAACTATTCAATGTGATAAAGAGCAAACAAGGGTCAGTGTTTTGCTACTCTTCCCAAGTTGAAAATTAGCTCTGTATGATTAGCTATTTATGTATCAGCTGAGATTTGAATTTTTTTTCATAGTGATATCCTTCCTTTAATTCTTTATAAACTCATTCTGGGGATAGGCAGAAATTTTGCAGAGGAAGCAGTAATTTTTATTATATTCCCGTGGTTTTCAGTCAAAATGATTTGGCACAGTGGGATGTGTTGCTCCATGCTATTAAGTAATTTCAAAACTTTGTGAAATATCATTCACAACGCTTCTTCTGAACCATGCAAACCACAGAGCATCTCTTTCTCTCGAGATGAATAGGAAACTAATCCTGTTTTAAACACACACATGTATGTAAGTTGCAATGTTGTTTTTCATCTTATGCCATGCACAAAGGTTTTTCTTTAGGGGACATTTTTCACTACTCACACTCATATATTTCTTGATCATATTTCTGATTATTCATAAACCAGAATGCCCTGACTCTTTCAGTGATGCTGGTTTTGCAAAACTGCCGTTTTGAGGAAGGTCATTCAGAAAGTTTTGTTCTGAAACAGACATCTGGTTTGACCTTTTCAGGCTCATCTGTTATATTTCAAAGCAATCACAGAATGAGTGAAGGATTTATAGCACACATTGTTTCAAGGTTAGACATAGGGTAGTGGTAAGAGGTAAGGCAGGCAAGGCTGTGATATGGTGTTTCCACAAGTATTGAAGAATGCATTAATAAGATATAATATGATAACAGAATACAATATTAGCATAAAGGTAGTTGTTCTTATCATGGATTTTTATTGCAACCCTCAATGGGTTTTCCTCAATTACCTTTTCCAAGCTACACGAGTTGTACAAGGTGCAACTAGGAAACAGAAAACTCATGCCTACCAAGTTGTATGGTCAGTAATTAAGCTGTAAAAGTTCATTTTCTAAAAATGAACAGGTGAGGTTTATTCCAGAGGATTAGATATGACCAAGTAAGTGTACTCAACTTGCAGAAAGCAGACAAAAGAAGTCCTCAAGCAGCTACTAGGCAAAATGGTATTAAAAGCATAATCAATCTTTCTGTCATATATAGCAAATTATAACAGAAAAACTGTAATTCTATAAAAATCAACTGTTATTTTTTTCAGTGGTCACCCTTGGCCAGAGATAGTGGCAGAATTCATATGGATTTTCAACAGCAAGCCAAAGTATAGGATTAGGTGTCTTTATTTTTTTAACGTAGTGGGGTACCTTGTGTCTTCCCACTGAGATTTATCCTGGAGGTAAAGGATTTAACCACTACCACAATTTAGATAACATGGGACTACGCCTGAAGAATAGGCTCCAATATTAAATTACCATGCATGGTCTTTGTGCATCACTGAAAATTCACTGTGTTAAAAAAGCATACTTAATGAATAAAGCTCAGTTTCTTAGTCACATGGGACGTTTTGGAGTTATGCTACTTGTTATTGGACATGCCTGAGAAGGCAGGAAAAATTTGAGTCTGAAAAAAAAGAAGCTGAGAGAAGCACTGTCAGATTTTAATTACTTGAACCAACTATGCTGTGCTAACTTGTTATTCTTTGTGGCTGGGCTTTAATTCATACAAATATGGATTCCACTCTGCCATGGGGATTCAAATGCTTAAAAGGATACCAAAGAACTCAAATTGCTCAAGTGTTTTTCCCAAGCCAGCTCATTCTCTCTTCATTTAGACATCATATCCTTTCTCCACCATGAAAGCAGATCAAAAACTTAAACTATATCACCTGCATTGCCTTGCATGAATCCCTCCGTCCTGCAGAATCCTGGGTCCAAAGTCTCAGATAGTTTCCTGGATTTTTCCATCGGTATATGGACCTCGTGATGAAAATTTTTGCCAAACTGATAATAAATCTAATTTACAGAAATGTTCAGGAAAAAGCTGTCACTCTGAAAGAGAGTTGCGGGGAGACGTTCTCATGAAAGGCAGATTTCACCTTCCTATCAACTCCTAGACATTGCAGCAGTTATGTCCTTCCTACAATGCCCTTGGTACAGCTTTAAGGATGTCCCACACCTTTCTCCTTCCTTTCGTCCTACTTGGTTGCTAAAACACATTTTTCTTAACCCTTGTCTGTTAAATTATTCTTTCTTCTTCTTGAATATTATTTGACAATATTCTATTTGAGGATGAAGTGCGAGTTGCAAACCAGTTCAAATTATAAGGCTGCATTTACAGCAAGAAAAAACCCCACAAAACCAAACCAGCAAGTACAAAAAAATTACCACAATTAAGATGTTGAGATGAGTCTGCTGGAGTGCTTACTGCTGTATATGAAGCAGCTTATAGAAATCTCAGAAGATGAATAGCTTACAAACAGCAACAGATTAAAATATACATTGCACAAGGACATACAAAGCCAGCAGAAGTCACATCTGGATTTCAACAGTTAGGGTTGCTCCACAGTAGAAGCCACCTTAACAGAACTTTCATTTCTCACTCTGCACCTAAGATTATTTATATCAAACCTTCAACAATGCTGGAAATATCTGAAAATACATTATTTATTATTTTTGGTCACAACTAAGATATGCCTCTGCATGAAAGGAAATAGCAACACTATCTGACTAGAGAGGGAGCCAGGAGCTTCTGTAAAGCATGATTTTGGGATGTATAAATGAAATCTGAGAAAGGTAATGTACCCACTGTGGGGCTGGCTGCAAGGAGTAGGACTTAGTGGTCAAAACTAAGGTCATAGGCTTCTCTTATTCACTGAGGCCCTGCTTGCACAAACGACCAATTTTTATTTTATGGAGTTTTAATTTTCTATGTGTAGGGAACTAACTTAACAATCAAACAAGACATTTCAGAACCACAAATAGAGTATTTTCTAAGTTATAGAGGGTCAATTCTAGGTGTTGTATAAAGGTAGTTCTAAAATATTTTGAAGTTTTATATCATTGCTTCCTCCAAGATCATATCACTGCTGCTACATTTCATCAGCAGGAGCATGTTTTATTGCAATTATTGAAACATCCTCTGATTGGGAAGGTGGACAACAAGGGAACATTTTGTTAACAGACATAACAATACTGCACCAGCTGTCTCGGGATGACTGGTCCAGGCACAAATAAAATGTGAAATGTCTCCTGCATCACAAATTTAATCTAATAAACCCTTCACTGTGTTTACATACTAAATGCTGTAATTGGATTCTGGTCAGACTGCTGTTTCCTGCTGCAGGAGCATTTGCACCTGGGTGTTGGTAACCGCACACACAAAGCTGTCTCTCGTCTGTGTAAAAGCCCCCTCTGCTGGACCAGCCTGACATGTAAACAAAACATAAAACTAGCAGATCGTTCCACTTCCTCCCCCAAAAAATGGACCATTCAGTGAAGCAATTCTCCATCAACTGTCCCTTCTGCAGGGAGCCCTTTTCCCAACTGATGCAATATGAGTCACAGAAGTTGTTTTCTAAAATGCATCATGGTTTGATGAACACATACTTTATCTATCCCACACATGAGGTGGACAGAAGTCCTTTCCTCCACAGTGTGGAGGACTGCCAAGTTTCAGGCTGTTTCCTGATGTCATGCTCCATGCCAAAGAAGTTCTTATCTGACGAAGGGATATGTCAGCCCCCTAGAGATATCTTGTATTGCCAGTCATTTCATCTTTGTGTAGATGATCCTCCTAATATTGAGGAATGTCTAAACTGGGCGAGATGTCAGAAAGGCGGAGAATAAAACCGAAGTGTCCCAGTGAGTTGAGCAGGCTACTCTGACACCTTAAAATCACCCAGCATCAGAGAAGTCCTAGATTAAAACTAAATATTATTATTTTCCTAAACATGATGTTGAAGAGTTATTTACTCCATTCAGAGAGAGCTACAGAAAAATACATCCATAGCATACCAGCTTCCTTTCTCTGATTTAGCTAAGTACTGTGTATGTTCCCTTCACTCAAGAGCCACTGTAGACAAAGCAACTCCACAGTTACATTTTTTATGTTCTCATGGCTATCTGATTCTTTAGACAAGCTCCATCATTATGAGTTGCCTTCTTTCAGGTGGATCTTGACTCCCAGAAAAGCTTCCCAATTGCCACTTCTCCTTACTGGTGTCACACCCAGTATAAAAGCTGCATCTAGAGATGACCCTTGTCCTGGTGCTCAATAATGGATGAGGACATCAGTTATTATGTTTTTTTCAAGGACCTGCTGCCTACATCAAGAGTAACTTTTGACCTGCAGGAAGCAGAATAGCTGTAGGTGCTTTCTGGAGAAAATTAGATGCTGTTACTACCTGACTTCATAGTAAACCAAGTTATGCTATACTGTCAGTGTGAATTTTCCTGTCAGTACTTCCACTTAAGCAGTTAACGACAGCACAAATCTATGAGTTCAGCATGTAGCCTGGCAAAACAAAGTCATTTATACAACCTATGTGAGGTTCTTTCTGGTGGCTGGTGAGAGGAGTTTTGTGATTCAGAACTAACAAAATGGATTATCTTCACCATGCAGTGTTTTACACCATGTGCTGAAAGTGGCATTTAACACAAACCTGTAAGTGAGAGGCACTGATGCAGCCACTCACCCCGCCTTGATGGAGACTAAACATGACAGCAACTCAAATAAACACAGGGGCTATCATTAGTTTGCAGTAAATCTCTCCTACACGTGGCTTGCTGGAGCTATATGACAGCATCTCAGAAAGATGAAAGAGGAAGCATCCCCAGTGAGCAAAGGGAAGAACTGGAAAGAGAAGGTCCATTATTTTCTGGAACTTGTGTTCCATGTGAGTAAACTGTGAGATACTGAGACAGCTTTCTGTTCAAATATGTTTCTGTCACAGTGGACAAAAATTACTTTCTCTTCCTGATTCCACAACCTGAAGAATGAGAATAATATTACTATCCTGCTTTAGCAGACCTTCTCAAGAATAAACGCTCTGAGACTGCGAGAGATCAGGTACAGTGATGTCCTGAAAGAGATGAACACAGGGTATTCTTTTCAGGCCTTGTGCTCCAAACGTGAACATCCTACCCTTCTGAGACAAAAGAAGAAGCACTGTTTGCTGCTTTGCTGTTGTAGTCACTGTCTCTTCCTGATGGTCAGTCTTTGAATCCACATGGAAATCAAACAGACCAGTAAAACCTACTTCAAAATGTACTTCTAAAACTCACTGACTTTTTAACCACCCCTTCCCCCCCACCAGTCTTGGTCAATAGTGTTAGCTAGCACAACATTTACCAAGTTTCCTCTTTAAATTCCTTGAAACAGGAGACAAAAGGAAAATTAGGCAGAAGAGGGTATGACCAAAGCTTTCACAACACATTTCCTTGACATCCAGAGGATTTGCTGAGGTCTGAAACAGTGAAGTTAACCTTACCTTGTTGTCTTCTCCTTCTCCCTATACGCTCTATAAATTTGGCTCTTTCCTCCCCTCCAGACAGTTTCCTCCTTGGAGCAAAACTGTGTCAAAAGGATCTCATCCCGAGTCACTATCTCCATTCAACCATGAAGAAATAGCTCTTTTCCATTTCCTACTTGAATTTTAAACCTCACAGTTACTGCTCTGTGTAATTTTTGGTCAGTTTAAATTTTATCTTTCATCAACAACTGGAGCTGGAACAACTGATTATCAATAAATAACACATCCCATGATGTAAGGGTCTCTTTCCATCTGCAGAATATCTGAGACCAATTGTAATTTCCTCAAATGCATTTTGCTTTCTACCATTGCCAAATTAATTATTTTGTTCTGTAGAACTCTAGTTGCAAACACCATCCTGCAAACATCTGCAACTGTTTAATTTACCAATTATTTCAGTAAGTACATATATAATTATCTACCAAGTCAGTTTGTAAAGAAATACTTAATGTTCCAGGCTGAGGTTTGCTCAGCTATTATTGGTCATGACTGGGATTGGTTCCAGCCCTTGGCTGAGAGAGCAAAAATAACTGTATAGCTGATATAAATTTCTGTATCACTGAATACTTTTACATTTAGAGTCTGAACGTAACTCCTCTCAGATATTTTCCAGATAAAGTTTTTTACCAGAGAACAGACAAAACCAGACATAAAACTAGCTGCCAAAATTCACTCAAATGTTAATTCATAGCGAACATATTTTTGCAGTACCAACTTTCAAACGTACTCCTATACACCCTAGACCAGCAACAAGGCCTCCCATTGATAGTGCTAAGGTCAAAAGCTTTATGATTAAATTACAGTGTTTATAGCACCCTCCTTCAGAGAGAATAGGAAGCCTTGTTAACAGGTTCATAAATCAAGGTGTGAAGATTAACCCAGTCATCCAGGCATATATGTCATTACTGAAAATATATGTTTTTAGAACATAGTAAATAATGAGATTAGTGTTTACTGTTATGTGCTGGATACAGACTGGAGTAATCTTTCCCCGATATACTACAGGATATATAATAGATCCTGAAAACCTATCAGCATTCTACTTCAATATAGCTTTTATTTTTCTGAGTTGGGTTAAACAGTTCCTGGATTCCTGATTATATCAAGTAGTGAACAAAACTAACACATGAAGGAACCAGCTCTCCATGTTACCACGCTACAGAACTTGCATTCGCACTTATCTCCAGTGACAGCCCCTCTGGGTATACACTCATTTCTGTCCTTTGCTTTAAATGCTACAACTTCTTTTCTTTAAATGTACTTACTTTTGAATGGAAGACTAAACAAGGACTGTTATATCCTAATTTAATCCATGTAAAACCCCACGTCTAAAGGGTTTGGACAATAAAGTTAAACGAAAGAAGATGTTAACACTGAGTGTAAACGCCCAAAACCAAACTCCAGCACACAATTCTCTTACAAATAAAAACTACATGACATGACTCCAATGGAGTTTAGAGCCCAATTCCTGAGCTGTCTGCAAGATACTCAGAAATCCAGGGACACTGAACCCCTTGGCAATTTAAAAAGACAGTTTTATTTTTTCAGAGTTACAGTTAACTCTTGGTTGTCCGTGGACAGATTATACAGGTTGCAGCTCAGTGGTATCCTACTTTCCCAAAAAAGCCTTTGGTCACCGCACAGAGCCCAGCACGAACCTTCAAATTTTCCTGCAGAAGAATTTCTTTCTAAACCAAACTCCCCAATTCTCTTTTTTTTCTTCAGTTACACATTTCTGTGTAGAAATTAAATCAGTTCTCTATCTCTTCATCTTCATATTGTCACATCAAAAGAATGTCTATTTAGTTTCTATTCCTCTTGTGCACATTCTATCAAATTTCTTCCCAATTTATAGTTTGGGGAGAACGTAACGCAAAGCAATTTGCTGCAGATAACTCCTTTCTCAAAAATAAAAAAAGAGACACAAATTCCCTCCCATATTCAAGGCTGTTGCTGTGCATTTTCTCGAACATATAGTCATCATTGTCAAATTCTCCCAACATGCCCCCAAAAGCCTTGATATGAGCTTTGGGAGAAACACTGCACAGGTTTTGTATACAAATTATTTCACACCTCTTCTTAATGGCACTGTCTGGCAGCAGTACAGGTTGGGCTTTTAATAATACTTTATTTTACAGCTCTAAAAGAAAAGTTCCCTGGGTTTGTAACTTGCGTTTGTGGATTTCAACACGCTAGTTGTCAGTACCAGGAATACTTACTGGGAAAAATGAAAGAGAAAACAAGGGAGAAAACAGCGTGTAGTGTAAAGCCAATGGGAAACTCACCTGAGATCCCACTACCTTTATAGTGATCCATCCATCTGCTGTCTTGGAACAATGTTTCTCATGCTTGAGCTGCAAAAATTAGAGAGGTAAACTAGGAACCAGCAACAGGATCTAGAAAGCAAATAGACACCTTCTCAATAACAGGAGTTTATAAATTATTTTCCTTCTGATTCACCAAGCTCATAGAAAACCACCTGCTGGAAGACAGCCTGTACCATTCCCTTGCCAAACAGTTCCCCACAGGCTATGATCCTGCAATTCCATCCCTATCAGCTCCCTTGGGCTTCCTCAGATTTGCTTCAAGAAGCTGAAAAGAGCTTGGAGAGGCTTGGAGAACCCCACTCAGAATCAGCAAGCTGCTGCTGAACTCTATGACTTTGCTCATGTTCTCTGGCACAAGTGCTGCTTGCATGGTCTGGGTATCGTGTTGCCCTGATGATTCATGCAGGGACCTGGTGGAGGCTGTCACAGCTCCTTCCTTTCCTGTGCACCTAGGTTTCCATCACTCAGACACCAGGTGCCAGCAGAAGAGAGACGTGCAGGTCTCATTCAGCAGTGGTGACAGGTTTGGCCAAGGTAAGCAGGTGACCTGGGAGCTGAGAAGCTATCCCAGGTGAGACACAAATTCCAGTATCCTGAGATACTTTTTTTCTACTATGTCAACTTATGGAAACTGGCCCAACCAGAAGCCACTGAAAGTGATGAAAAAAATGCACCAGGAAGTTTGCAGAATCAGCAAGATCTTTGAAAGTGTTTGGCATTTTAACTTTAGGTGTGAGAACACTGAGAGCAAGGAGAGAAGGACAGAGGTGGGTTGATGCTGACACCATCCATGCGGGTGCTGCTGAGCCACAGGTGTTGGCATCCACCCACCTTTAGTAAATGCAGCCACAGAGATGATGTTGTACAGGTGGATGTAAGTGCCTTTCCCACTCACTAAACTTAGTCTCTCCATGCCTCTGGTGCCCTGTTCAGAAATAAAAATAATGTTTCTCTCCAGCCAGGATTCATTAATGTCAGTGAAGCACTTCAGAGTTCAGATGGAATTGTTTTCTCTATAGACATGGCCAATGTTATTATAAACTGAGCTACCATTCCTTTAAGAAACATAACTGAAATACATTTAGTCATGTAGAAAGTCTGCTGGGGGATCTCTATACTTCAGAGAGCAAAGGCTATGAGCTGGCTCTGCTCCATTTATGTAAGTCCTGCTCCATTAATTTTAGTCTCACTTTAGTTGGACAAGGTATATAATTTTTCCAAGATAGCACTGGACATGCAAACCAAAATTTTACTTTCCGAATTTTAACAATAACAGTCCCTTTTGCCAGAAGTCCTTTATAAATGCACACTAAAAAACCCAATAGATTAAAAAGAGCTGTAGCCCATGATAATTATTAGCATTTTATAGCTTTTCATACTTTCAAAGCAATATGCACAAGTTACCCAATTAATCCCAGCTCTCTGGGATTCTCTTGCTCCATTGCACTGGCCAGCTCTATGCCCACCTACATGGGCTCAGCAGCCCATGCCAGGAAGAAGATGGATGGTACAGTATTGTGTATGCTGGCCGGCTGCCTTGAGCCCACCTGGCCACCCATGGTATTCCATCGAGCCACCTTTCTTAGCAAGTTTTTCCAGTCACAGCCACCCACCAGGACCTGCCCCTCTCTGGGCTGCAAAGCAGCACCGTAGCTAAGCTCAACAGCAGTTTGCAGGACACAGAGAATGGGCAAAACCTTGTCCAAGCCTCGGTCTCAGCAAGCAGGGCAGGATGGGATTGTGTGTCCCCCCAGTGCCCTATCCCCAGTTTACAGGTGAAGATGCCTCTGAGACCCAAAACTGCAAGGTGACCCCATGTGCTCAAAGCAGTGGAGGAACGCCTGGTTCCCTCTAAGTTGCCCAGGGCCTCGCTGGGGCACAGAAGACCCTTGAATCTCCAGCAAAGCCTCATTTGAAATTCAGACTCTATGAGACCACCCACAGTCTCCCCAAGGCGTTTGCCACTCTCACCTATCACTAAACACAAAGTTTCTTTTCCTAATGCAAGGACAATCACAAAGTGGCTAAGCCAAACAAAGCTCAAGCATGCCCTCCTTTCCTCTGTGGAGAGGGTAAAAGTGAAGGTTTCTCCCTTCTCTCGACAGACACTTTTGGGCAGCTAAGTGGTTTAATGCACATGGCTGAACCACAGGGACTGTCCCCGTGGGAGAAGTGAAAGCAAAAGATTTAAGCCTAAATCTTGGCAAAGGAGATTTGTCCTGCCAATGAAAACTTGCATTGCATAAAATATTTGATCTCTGGTTGGGTCTTTGCATCAAATACACACACAGAGCTAGAGATATTTTTTTTTCCTTTTGAAGAGAAATTGTTTCAATAACTGAATTGAAAACCCATCAAGATCAAGGGCCAAATTACCTTTGGTGTTCACAGAATCAGGCCTTCATGACATGATTTGTGTTAATCCATGAAAATGGTGCATGTTTTAATGAAAGAAATCAGCTTAAGTAGGAACAGAGTGAGATCTCTAAAGATTCCTTAAATATGGGTCCCCAGATTCCTGTTTTGTGTCTTCTCACATTTAGAACATCGTGATATTTCACAGCCTTCTGCTTTAATCTTCTGACAGCCAATATAGTATAGTACTGTGGTTTTGGGGTGGACAGTTGTCAGTGTTTGGGCTTTTTAATTATATCTAAATAAATTTTAACTGTATCAGAATCTAGGAATGTCTAGAAAAGGTATTTAAACATCCTCACTCATAAACAACTTAAGCTGCACTAAATTCAGATCTTCAAATTAAAACCTGAAAGATTCCAGGGATAGTTTCAGTTTTGGCTGCCTCCCTGACCTATCCTACAGAGCAGATCCCAAACACAGAGGTAGAATTTCTGCATACCAGGGTACATCACTTGCTAGAAGCAACCCAAACACCTTGCACACACTATTTCAGAAGTAAGCCCAAATCGTCACGTAGGTTTGATGATGTAGTGCTGTGCAGGGGTTTGAAGTTGCAATCACAAAAGGATCAAAATGTGTCCTTTGGTCCATCTCCAGAAGAAATGACATTAGGTGAGTTACACCAATGGGTCTTGAACAGGTAGCCTGAAGAAGATAAATGTGCACATAATTGAAATATTTTAACTGATTTTTACTCTTTTACTTACTAAACACTGATTTTTAAATTAGTGTTTATGCAAGCAATTTTACACCCTGCTCTATCCTTTTTCCCAAACCAGCAGGACAAAACTTGATTTAAAATGCTAGAAAGAAGTCTCATTTTCTCTTGCTTATGGCAGAGCTACATTGCTGTACTCTTCTTCCAATTCAGTCTTCGCATTTTAATTTCTTGAGAGTGACTTTTTCTGAATATACAGTATGTAGCCTGGCTGTTTAGAAAAACAAAATCATAGAATCATAAAATATAATGAGCTGGAATCAACTTCTGCCTTTCTCTCTCTCTTTCTCCCATTCTGTCTTCTCAATGGACCAACCAAAACCCCTCCGCTTAAGACTCTGAACCTGCCTGCAGCACCACTGAAGAAACTGCTGGCAGCCCAGAGAGATGAACACCCACATAAACCTCTCCAGGGCTGGGGACTGAGCTCTCTGCAGCTCCTGGTCTTCTACAGCTCAGCCTGGCAGTGACCGTAAGAGGCAAGGCGAGTGATGAATGGAGGCTGACAGGAGCATCTCTCCATCACTTTGCTGGGGGCTGTGCACTGGTCTCAGCAGGATGCTCAGCCCCTACCGTGCAGAAGGCCCCTGGAGAGCTGTTTCTGCAGGCCAGGAGTCTCCCCGCTGAACGATGCTCTGTTCTTAACAGGGCCTCGCATGTAACACTAGAAAGTGCTTGTCAGCCCTTGCCTCGCGCAAAGCATTTCATGCCTCACACTTTCCTTCAGGATGTTTCTTACTCCTTGTCGCTGGTGGTAGGTGCAGCCCCACCACTTCAAGAGACTGTTTAGCAGACACCATGGGGCAAGTCTAGAGGAAAATCATGAAAAATTGATTTTTGTAGCTCAAAAGCAGGTCTGTCCAACTAAAGCCTGACAGTAGATTTGCCTACTAGAGAGTGCAAGAGCTCTTCATTGCAAGTGTATGTGCAATGTGACACTGTGCTCAGCTGTGGTTTTCCTCCAATACTCTCTTTTAAGTTGTCACAGATATTTGCAAAACCAAAGGAGACAGGAGTCGGACCTGCAGGTACCGTCCTGGTTCAATGGGTCCAGGTCTGGTTGACAGGACTTACCCATTTACAGCAAGTCTATAAAAACACAGGGCAATTCAGCCTGCCTCTAGCTGCACTTCATGTGATCTATAGATACACATTATATGTAGTTAATCGCACTTACAAGAGCTTCATATTCATTACTCAGTGATATAAAAAATATTTTTTTTATCTATTAAATCTTCACTATCTGCAATTATTCCCCAGGGCACAATAGATAGTGAGTCAGCAGGCACAGATTTAATTATCAGCTTTTACTGTAAGATGATGATGTTTATTGATATCACTATCAGACAGACACTGAAATGAAGCAGATGTTAATCTGAGGTTAAGCTCCAGCAGGCGCCTAGCAGTCTGACCAAAGGGACTGATGTTCATCAGATAATAAAAGAGGAGACCTCCCTCCCTTCCTCCCTCTGTTTCTCCAGAGGCCTGCACAGATGTACAGCCTTGTTTTGCAAATTCCTCCTTGCACCATTTCCAAACCCCTCTAACGAGCTGTTTGCCCCTTATTGCAGAGTTTTCATTCAGATCTAGCAGACAGTTTAATCCAGCATTCTATTTTGCTTATATAGGAACTTCATGGTTGGGTTTGGTTTATTTTTCTTCATCATGCCCTAAAGGCTGATGCCACAGAAGTTGAAAACAGAAGTGAAGTGGTCACAAAGTTGATGTGACATCACAACTGTGAGCAGAAAGTCTGTTACTGATTCCCATCACAGCAGTGACTACCTTAAGTAAATCTCTAGCAAGGTAAAACACTGCTCTCAAATTCAAATGATACAATGCAATGGAGAGGGACCTTCTGTGGGGAAGGAGAGGATGACAAAGTTAACAGCAGCTTTCTGCATTTCTCAGAATGCCATCACTTTCTACTGCTGAGAGCAATGATGTGACAGCCTATATACTAATAAAAATATGTTAGACCTGACACTCACTGAATTATATTAATGTTTAACATTAGAATCTGCAAAATGACTACTGAGCTGGTGCAAATGATCATGCAGAAAAGTAATTTTCATAGGTCTTTTAGTGGTACACTTT